CGAGACTTCACCACGAACTGCCAGCCCCCCACGGGGTACGGGCCTAACGGCCTAAGGGATCCACACCCAGAGGTGTGAGACTAATCCTCTAGGAGAAGTGAAGTGCCCCATCCCCACTTCTCACAATAGTCAGGTTCGAACCCCTGACCTTCGCTTTCACATGGAGTTTCACCTTCCCACTTATCCAGTGGACTATATGGCTTGGGGTGCAAAAATCAATTTCCCAACGAGATTTAGGCTGAATTCAATGTCCAGTAAATGTATAAAAAATTCAGTATTGTAAATTACTAAAATCAACATTGTATCAGAAATACCATAAAAAAATAATTTCAGCACAAAAAATACTTTCGAGTCCAAATGGCAAGTCAATTTGATAACCTTACTTTTTTGGCCAAGAATAAAACATTCATTTTATGATTGGTGTTTAAAACAAGTCATGAGTTTGTTTTCCATAATGTTAAGGTATTTAAATTATGTCTCTATAAATTACTCAATTACATCTTAACATTTATGTTGCTTATGATTTTATTTCATATATATCTTATAAATCTTGTCTTTTTAGGGTGAACGCATTCACGCATCCGCACCAGACTGCTTGGCTGCAAAGTTCAAAATGTTAGAACTTAGCGAAGGTCGCGAAGGTCGTATATATGGGATAAATAACTTCAAAGTTGTACCCGACTTTAATATGTACAAGACTACTCCCAAGAGCGATAAGTTGGTTTTCTATGGCAAGACTACAATGGACGAGGTTATTGATGAAGGCTGCCCAAGATTCATCTACGATATTAAGAGTTTCATCGATTTTGCCGATTTGGCATGCATTGATTCAAGACGGCTTATAGCACTTTATAACTGTTACATTATAATTTTCTTCTATATTATAATGATTTCTATTGTTTTATTGTTTTGTAGATATAATCTCAAGTATTGTTTTGTACCAAAATTTACAAATAACGATGTCAAAGGGGGTAAAAAAAAGATTTATCGAACTTGTTCTTGAAGATGCCAAGTATATTCAACTTGTTATTATTTTATTTCATATATATCGTCCACTATAAAATGTACGTTTAGAATTTGAATTTCATTGTTTATTGTCAATTATTTAATGGCAGCCAATTAACTTGCACCGTATGGGAAGGTTATGTCGATATTTTTATTGAAGCCTTCAAAGAATCATCTCCATCCGACTTGAGGGTTATAATCATACAAAATGTGTCGAGCCAAATCATTTGATCCTTGTGGTCCTACCCGGCTCGATTCCGGATTAGTCGGTTCCCCTGTGGATCCGGAAACCGGAAGGTCCATGTACAAAAAAAAATAATTAAAAATATTAATTATTATATTTTTTTTTTTTTGCTTCATCCCAATTGGTTTATTCATTTTCTTATTCACATATCCAATTTGATCTTATGCGTTTTAATCCTCCCTATACATAATTCCCGAATGCGCTGAGCCTACGTGGCTGCTTCTGGTGCTTCGGAATCTTATTTGGCGAAGAATCATGTTTCGCAATTAGGTTTGGATAAATAATATTGATATATTAATAATTAATAATCTAGGTTCGGGTATTCTATAAATATTATTTAACTAATTTAGGTATTTTAATATCACTTTTACTAATATAACCCTTTAATTCTTTGTAATTTTACATAGTGAGGCAATAAGTGACTAATATATCCCTGACTTTTGATTTGTTTCCTTCAATAAGCTATTGAATTATAAATGTATTTTAAAAGTTGATAACTTTTGTATTTCTTATCGGTTTTACATATATAATATATCAAATTAATCATCTTTTGATGATCTTCGATTTGACATCCATATTGTATATATATGAAATAAATAAATTATATTTATCTTTATAATAATAAAAAATAATAATATTTATTAAAATTCATTAGAAAAATAAAATTATTTTTCAATTGATATATTTATATGTAATGTAGTTATATATTGTAAGTTAAAAAAATTAGTATAATATAACACAAGTAAGTTGCACAAATAAAAAGTGTCATAATAAATATATAATAATATACATATTCTTATAAAAGGTATTTAAATTTTCAAACTACTTTTTTCTCATTAATTTTAGATTTTAAGAAAAAAATTAGCAAGCACCCGTGTAATACACGGGTGTTGTACTAGTATTCTTGATTACTAATTTTTTTTATAGGCTACTCAAATGATTACAACAAGTGATGTTCTCGAGATTATAGACTTCAAATAAATATATTTAGAATTTAAATTTTAAAATCAATTAATTAATTATAAGAATATTTATTTCGGCTGTAATTTACTTTTGTATTTATTTAAGGTACTTTGCGTGCGTTTGTATACAAAAAGACTCAATTCATACTCAAAACTAATTCAACTTCAATATCTTCAATACTATTAATATAATTAAACCAATCATTCTTATACATCACATCTACTTTATTTTACTACTAGTAAAACGTCTGTATATTACACGGGTGCTTGCTAATTTTTTTTCTTAAAATCTAAAATTAATGAAAAAAAAGTAGTTGAAAATTTTAAAACCTTTTATAAAATTATATATATTATTATATATTTTTTTTTTTTTTCTGAAACGATAGAATTTTATAGAAAATAAAACCACTTAATTACAACTAGACATCAGCTAGAATAGCCAAGCAGCCACACAGCTGAATCCAGGAGGCCTACCCGTAGGTAGTCTAGAATCAACTACACTAACTCACCCACATCACAACAAACAACAAGCTCCCAACGGGAGAATAACGAAAAGCTCCCAACATGAGAATAACAAAAAACTCCCAACAGGAGAATACACGAAACGCACTCCCAACGAGAGAGAAAGAAAAGGAAAACACAGCTAGACACAAACACAACAACCAACACAAAAAACAAAACATCTAAAACAAAAGACAAAAACTACACCACCCCTCCACAAAACAGCTCAACCAAGACGACCAACAATGACACAAACGGACATCCATCAACACGGACAAAGCCACAGACAAGGAATCCAAACCAGAAACTGCCCAACAAATGCCTAACTGGGTCGAACACCAGCAGACCGGAACTACGCCCCAACGGATAACCGAGACCCACACCTAGAGGTCCATACCACAACACACCCAAACCAACTAACCAACTGGGCCCAGACTCAAGAACGCAGCCCCCGGCCCCATTTAGCCGGCAGAACAACTCCGCCCAACACCAGAGACATGAGGGTTAAGGTGGTAGATGGCGAAAACCTCCACCCCGAACCTTCAAAAAAAGAAGCGAGGCCGCAGCCCACCCCGAAGAAGAACCAAAGGTCGCCCAAACGCTGCCAAAAAACCGTCGGCATAAACGGTCGCCCTCCACGCCATCCAAGCAACCATAGACACGGCGAGACCTATTCTAGGAGAAGGGCACCACTTTGCCGGCAAAAAAGCCCCACCTCTGAGCGGCGCCTCTCCAAGGAACAAACTACGAGGCACAAGAGCGCCCCGTCGACAATCTCGGACGGTCGTCGGAACACCAGCTGAACCACCGCTCGGAGCACCCTCCTAGGAGCACCACCTCCAACAACCCCCAACACCAAACCGGACAGAGGCAGCTCATCACCGAGCAATCAACCACCTCGCTGTCGAATCTACCACTCGAACACCAGGGGCGAATAGATCCAAGGGAGAAAGAGGTGCCGGACGTCGACCCTCCGCAACCACTGCGGTGGTCGGGTCCGAAATCGGTCGACTCACGCTCAAAAGACGAAACCCTACCCCAATCCTCCCAAGAAAACCGCTCGCTGAGAAAATTGGGGAAGGAGTTAGAACGGGAGCCGCCCGACACCCCATTGGAGGGCATCTCCGACGCGGCGGCCGGAAGAGCCCAGCGGAAGGGAGGAAAGCGCGCCGATGGAAGGGTTCTCTGCTAGGCGATTTTGGGGAAAAAAACGAGAGAGATAGATTTTGGAGATGCTTTTTTGTATTATATATTTAGTATGATACTTTTTATTTGTGCAACTTACATGTGTTATATTATAATAATTTTTTAACCAACAACATATAACTACATTAAACATAAATATATCAGTTGAGAAATAATTTTATTTTTCTAATGAATTTTAATATATATTATTGTTTTTTATTATTATAAAGATAAATATAAATTATTTATTTCATATACACAGTATGGATGTCAAATCGAAGATTATCAAAAGATGATTAATTTGATATTTTATATATGTAAAACTGATAAGAAATACAAAAGTTATTAACTTTTAAAATACATTTATAATTCGATAGCCAATTGAAGGAAACAAATCAAAAGTCATGGATATATTAGTCACTTAGTGTCTCACTATGTAAAATTACAAAGAAATTAAATGATTATATAGTACAAGTAATATTAAAATATCTAAGTTGGCTAAATAATATATATGGAATGTCCAAACCTAAATTATTAATTATTAATTATTAATATATCAATATTATTTGTCCAAACATAATTACGAAGCATGATTCTTTGTCAAGTAGGATTCCGAAGCACTAGAAGCAGCTACGTAGACTCAGCGCATTCGAGGATTCATCAACTCACATAATTGTAACTATCACTTCTAATCATATCTCTCTTACTTTTACAACAAATCAACTTTTAATTATTTTATTTTAACTATTATTTTAATATAAACAAAAAATCTCACTAACAACATTTTTAATCATCTTTCTCTTACTTTTACATCAAATCAACCTTAATTATTTTATTTTAAATATTATTTTAATATAAACTAAAACTCTCACTAACAATATTTTTAATCATCTTTCTCTTACTTTTACATCAAATCAATCTTAATTATTTTATTTAAAATATTATTTTAATATAAACTATGAATCTCACTAATAATATACTAATTTTTTCTAAATTAATTTTAATTAACCAAAAAACTCGTCTTGAGACGGCAAACACGCCCTCAATCTTCTAGCCAATACCTAATATCTATCACATTAATCATTGAGGAAGAAAATATATTTTTACACTGCAAACCTCCCTGATTGGAATTTGACCGAGTCAACCTTTCCTAAAACCCGCTCCTCAAACCGAGTCGACTCACTCATCTTCCCCCGAATACCCCAACTCAGCAATTTCCCTCCATCTTTAGCACACACCATCGACGTCCCAAGCTTTTCTTTCAACTCACGAACCAAAGCCCACATCGTCTTAATCGAATGCTTATCCACCGCACACAAAACCGATAGCCTCTCCCTACATTCCTCCAATCTCTTCATCGCGCACAGAAGCTCCACTGACTCGCCAAAACTCATGCAACTCAGTCTCTCGCTCAACTCGGCCAGCCGCGGCACTAACTCGCTGACCAAGGAGGTGTAATCAGTCAACAGCAGCCTCACGACCTCCTTCACCAGCATCTCGCCCTCGGCGACGGCGGGGTTGTAATCCGGTGCTCTGCATATTTCCTCGACCACACCCACCAGACAATCGACTACGCCGACCAAATCGGCGTTGAGGGACGACGAGATCCGGCGGTCGTAATCCGCCGTGGACGAGCAGAGGAAGTACCCGACGGCCCTGGAGGCAGACAACAGGGTCTCCAGGTAGCGCGCGTACCACCGGACCCAGGCAGAGAGGACCCACGTGGCAGGGGTAGCAGCGTCGCGGAAACGCGAGAGGTTGAGGTGGTTGCGGCCGCCTGCGGCGGGGAAGACGGAGATCTGGTCGCGGAGGATGAAGGGGCCGCGGCGGACGGCGTGGTGGAGGACGAGGAGGCACTTGAGGGCGACGACGGAGCTTCCAGTGCGGCGGAGGCGGTCCACGACGGCGGAGACGACGGGGGCCGCGGCGGCGCGGGAGGTGTCGCCGAGGAGGAGGAGGGCGGAGATGCGGCGATCGTCGGGCGGGGAGTGGGGGAGGTGGGCCGTGGCTCGGAGGACGGCGAGGCGGATGGGTAAGGCGGCGGCGGATGGGCCGGCGGGGAGGATGGAGGCTTTGGAGAGGGCGGCCTTGTCTTTGATGGCGCCAATTAGGTCTCTAAAATTAGTGATTTTCCCCATGGATTGGAGAAAAGAAAATTCCAAAAAGCATAAAGATTTTTTATTTTATTTTTTTTCTTCTGTTTTCTTGTTTGTTATTTTGTTATGTGGATTGATTGATATTTGATGATTATGTATAAGTATGATTGTTTAACTTTGGAAAAGTAGTTTCAATTATGGTAACAGAGAAATTTCCCCAGATATTGGTAGGGTATCTATCATGTGATAGAAATTTTAATTTACAAATTGATCGATAAGTATAGATATTTTTTTTTTCTAAAATTATGATTGAATTTACTTATTAAGGTACATAATTAAGTATATTTTATTGTGAAAGTTGGTCAGGTGACCAGGTCAAATCTTGAGGAATCAAAATAAGGAAGAAAGAAAATAATGACCACAGATATTAGACTATCTTTATTCATAATCCAACCCAACCCAACCCAACTCAATTCTTTTAATAAAATACTCATTTCTCTCTCCTCCACTTACACAACCCACAACCCAATTCTATTTCTACTTTTATCCATGACATCAACCCAACCTAATATTTTTTCTTTTCACTTTATTTTTAAATAAAATTAGATATATTAATTTGTATTAAATTAAAAAATAACAAAAAATGTGTGAAGAATAGAGAGAAAATATAGAAGAAGAAATGTGTGAAGAAAAGAGAGGTTGTATTTGGTTGTGAAATTGTATCAATATTATACTCTATTTATAGAGAAAAAAAATATGAATTTTGATATAATTTTTATTTATTTTTTATTTAAAATTATTTACAATATTATTAATTTAAAAACATAACAAAAAAAAAAAAACAACCAACCACAAGCTGCCAAGTGGCAGCTTGTGGTTCATTAAAAAACAGGTTGGTTCATCAACCTAGGTCATCAACCCTCCTCTTATTAAATTGAATTTTTATTTTTTTTTTTTTATTTTTTTTTTTTGTCTGTTTCTCACGCCACCGCCCCCGGTGGCGTGAATAAAGATAGCCTTACATCAACACCTATTACATTACTTTTTTTTTTTTAAAAAAAAAAAGGGTAAGTACTAATAAATTAAATTCAAATAGAATACAACAGATAATCAATTGGTTACAAGGAACATCTCAAGTGAAGTGACAGAAAAACTAGTGAATTGCTATTTACCGTCCCTTTTACTAATCACTGCCCCTCCAATTACGTTTTTGCCTTTATGACTATCTCTCTACTTTCTCTCTCTACTCTTGCCCTCTCGACTTTTCACGGCTCTTTTGACCGTCGAAAAAATCCGAAAAAAATACCATGACATCGGCAAGACATTGAAGATTGACTATGTAGTTTTTTTATACTTTTTCACTTTATAAATAATTTTTTAAATTTTTTTTTATTTTTTTTTTCGCGTCCGACCGGACGGACCGGACACACAATGGGTGTCCGGCCGGACGGACCGGACGCACACATTGGTGTCCGGCCGGTTCGGCCGGACGCTATATTACTTGTCCAGTCCGTCCGGCCGGACACCCATTGGTGTGTCTGGTCCGTCCGGCCGGACACCCATTGGTGTGTCCGGTCCGTCCGGCCGGACACGAAAAAAAAATAAAAAAAAATTAAAAAAAATATTTATAAAGTGAAAAAATATAAAAAAAAATACATAGTCAATCTTCAATGTCTTGCCGATGTCATGATATTTTTTTCGGATTTTTTCGACATTTTTTTTACGGTAAAAAGAGTCGTGAAAAGTCGAGAGAGAAAGAGTAGAGAAAGAAAGTAGAGAGATAATCATAAGGGCAAAAACGTAATTGGGGGGGGCGGTGATTAGTAAAAGGGGGGCGGTAAATAGTAATACCCAAAAACTAACCACTCCTTCGGCCAGCATTGAAATAAACTTGCTCAACTCCGCAATTCGACATGTCAAGCAATTCGACATGTCAAAATCTGCACTTTCCTTCGCCTTTTTCGGGAGCTTCATCTCCAAAATGGCTCGCACTTTTTCGGGATTCAGCTCAATCCCCTTTTTGGTCACCTTATACTCGAGAAAGTTTTTCGACTTCACCCCAAACGAGCACTTAGCCGGATTGAGCTTCATCTCGTACCTCCTTAGAGTGGTAAAGGCTTGCTTGTTTATAAGTTTTTCTTTTTTCTATTTGTTTTTTGGTTAATCAAAGTTAATTTTGAAAAAGTATGTTTGGTTAAGTTTGAGTGGAATTTTGAACTTATATTAAAATAAAATAATTAAAGTTTATTTGATGTAAAAATAGAAAATATTATTGAAAGTGATGAGTAGTTATGTGAGTGGATGAATAGTAAATTAAAGTTGATGTGATGTGTAAGGATGACTGGTTGATATTATTTGATCATATTGATAATATTGAGGAAGTGTGGTTGAGTAAAATTTGAGTTGAGTTTGAATTATTTTGAAAAAAAAAAAACTTGTATCCACGCATGCTCTAAACGTTTTCCTCAAATCGGTTACATGGTCGACCTTCTGCTTGCTTTCACTAGCATGTCATCAATATAGACCTCCATGTTCCGACCCAACTGCTCCTTGAAAATTTTATCGACCATGATGACCAGCCTTTGATATGTTGCTCCCACATTTTTCGACCCAAAAGGCATGACCAAGTAACAATAGGTCCCCTCGCTAGTCACGAAATTAATCCTCTTGCAATCTTCCCTTGCCAATGGGATCTGGTGGTAACCTTGTGAGCCATCCATCAAGATGTGAAGTTCACACCTGGCCATGGATTTGACCAGTTGGTCAATCCCCGGCAATGGATACAGGTCTGTCAGGCACGCCCTATTCAAATCTCTAAAGTCAATGCACATTCTTCACTTGCCCGCAAACTGGGATACCATTACAGTGTTCGATAGCCACTCAAGGAAGTGAATTTCAACCACATGCCGCGCCCTGAGTAGCTTGTCGACCTCTTGCTCAATTATCGTGTCCATCTTGGCCCGTGGTGCCTTCTCTTTTGACGCACAAGTCGCACACTGAGATCAATATTCAACTTGTGCTCGTAATATTAGCTTCGATCCCTATCAATTCCTCAAACGTGTACACGAACACATGTGCAAACTCCTTGAATAGTGATATGAGCCTTAACCTCAGCGGCTCTCCCAAATCCTTGTCGATTATGATTTTTCTCTCCTCAATTCCCTCGATTATCTGGATTTCTTCGATCTCCTCGTCTGGCTGAATATCTACATTCTCTTTCCACTTATCAAGCTTAGGCCTTTCTTTCTTCGACCTGGATCCACTCTGCCAACCTACCATCTCATCCTTTAACATGCTCACTCTCCTCGCATTATACTTATTTGCGCCCATTATCGTCTGATAATAAGTCCTCGATGTTAGTTGGTCACCAGCAACTTCCCCCACACTCTTCCGGACAGGATAATTAATCGTCATGTGATAGGTCTAAATCACCGCCTGGAAGCCGTTTAGGCCAGTTCTCCCCAAGATGATATTATACGACGACTCTGTAACAACCACTACAAATAACACAATCTTTACCTTTATGGTCGCATCCGACCCAAGAGCTACTGGTAGAGTGATCTCTCCCATGGTAACAACTTGATTCCCATTAAAACCATATAAAGAAGTCACGACCTCATTCCACTCCAGATTCAAATCTAGTTGCCTAAAACAGTCATATAACATCACATCCATAGAGTTGTCAGTGTCAATAAAACTCGATTCACGTTGTATCACGTGACCTCCGTCGTTATCACTAGGGCATCATTATTGGGCACGTGAATCCCCTCAGCATCTTCAACTCGAAAGCTAATCATCAGCATTCGAGTTGTAATTTTGATCTCTTCTCTTTTCCTTTTTGTTGATCAGGCGTGCTCCTTCATGGCATTGTTAGAGTCTCTATCTGTTAGCCCCACCAGAAATCATGTAAATGGTATCTCTCTTAACTGGGACCACGTCCTCTTAGTTTTCTCGACCTCCTCCATCTCGCCTCCACTTGTTTCTTTCACCACATCGACCTCTTCGATCGTGTGTACCTCTCTATCCTCGTTTTTATCTTGGTCGTCCTTCTTTACTGAATTTTTACGGCATAACCTTTTATCCTTTTTCTTCTCTCTATCGTGATAGATAAACTCTTTTACGTGTTCTGCTCGAATCAAGCATTCGATTTGATCTTTCAGGTGCATGTAGTTCTCTGTTGTTATGTCCATAGTCTTTGTGGAATATGCAGTACATGCTCGACCTCGGTTATGTAGGCCTTTCTCTCCTTGACCTTAGTCATGTGACTGTCCGGCGCTCGATCATCTCAAGCACTTCTTTCATATGCGTCTTCACTGGTGTGTAGTTAGAGTATCTTTGACCATTCTACAGTGGTCGGTCCTTCCACCGATCTTCTCGACCTCTCTCTGACATGCTCTACCTATCACGATTAGGCAAATGAGCCCTCTCTTTCTTTTGGCTCAGGCCGAGCCAACTGCTCCAATTTAGCAAATTCCTCCTCAGTCTCTTCAAGATTAACATATTTATTGTATCGTATTAAGACCTCATCATAAGTACAGGCTCGTGTTTTGGCTAGAGAGCTTCGATAAGGACTAGCCCACAAACTCCTTATTAAACCGCCAGCCTTGACTTCGTCAGAGGCCGACGGGATCTCCACGCATGTTTGGTTGTACCAAAAAACATATTTTCTCAATGATTCGCCCTTCTCTTGCCTCATCGCCATCAGAGTGGGGTAAGTCTTCTCCTGAACAATAGCACTCACACACTGATTAAGAAACATGTTCGAAAAATCTTCAAAGTCTATAACCAAACCAATCGAGAGCCCCTCCCCTCAAGGTTGACAAAAACGCCCTACGACTCACCGCACTCGAATATCCATGCAACATTGACATATTCTCAAATGACCTCACATGACTTGACGGGTATGTCGACCCATCATACGTCAAGCTAACCTCACGGAAGTTGCTTGGCAACACAACATCCAAGACCTCTCTCGAGAAAAGATGTCTTCGAGCTCGACATGTGCACTTACCATCCACTTCCGCTAGAAACTGACATAACTG